AAGTGATGTGTAACTAGTTAGATTAATTAATAAATTTTATTGACTAGATCTAATATATCAAAATTTGATATATGTTTGATAAACATTTGAATTTAATTATTTACGAATAATGAGCTTGTTATTATCAAAGTGGCCTAATTCACATAATAGTAAAAATAATTAAATGTTTATAATCTATTTGATTTACTACATGTCTATAAATATAATGCTTATAGCTAGTCACCAAAGTGACCTGACTGAAAGATTAATAGATAAATAAATCCTTAAGAGGAAATCGATGTTCATAATTTTAGGATCTCAGTAATATGCTATTCATTCATATAAATAGTGCTTATAAATTTTCTTTTTGTAAATTACATTGAAGGATCATTGTATTCATGAACAGCCTATTACAATTTAAGAGCCTAACTTTTATACTTAGATTGTTGAATGTTCAAATACCACACTCATTTAGTCTAGTGTATTTTTTTTTTGGGGCAAGAATGAAATTTTATTAAAATGAAGAAAAAATAATAGGGGGAGTAGACCTTACCCAACAATTGTCTATTTTATATATTATCTAGCATCAATTTGTGTTTATATTTATGGATCACTCAAAGGAAAACTTAATTATATATGTTTTGTTTCCTAAGAATGAATATATATCAGTTAACTCAAAGCTTTAACAATAAGTACGTATGCATGTATATATTTGTAGCTTTGTTTAGTGTCTTAGCTGTGAAATAATGGGAAAGAGGTACTCCAATAGGAGTCCTGACAGATATATTTATAATAGAAGAGTTGCCAAAATACAAAGTATTCCTAAACAGATATTAGGCAGATTCCTAAATATCTATTAGGTAGATTCCTAATTATATTAGCCTATTACACCCCCTCAAACTGTGCGTGAGATACAACGCGCAGGTTGTCTTTTAAAAAAATGAAATTGCAAACTAAAAAAAAACTCTTCGTAAATATATCTGTGAGCGGAAGATTAGAAGGCACGTCTTTGACAATAAGATCTCCATGAGAATATATGTCTGCAGCAGCAAGCGGCGAACTCAACAGCGCGCTTGAAGCAAGCACCGTGGTCAGCGACGCAGAGAAGGTGGGCTGCGCGAACATTGGCAGCAGCAGGCGGCGAACTCAACGGCATGCTGGAAGCAAGCACCGTGTTCAGCGACGCGAAGGAGGTGATCTGCGCCATATTAGCCGCGCTCATCTTCAAAGGATCGGAGACTACCGTAAATGTGGCGGCAGTCGACCCCAAGGCGGCGCGGCTATAATAAGGTTCATGGGAACCGAAAAAAAGAAAAAAAATTGTATCTACAAACCTAGAGCTCTTGATACCATGTGAAATAATGGGAAAGAGGTACTCCAATAGGAGTCCTGACAGATATATTTATAATAGAAGAGTTGCCAAAATACAAAGTATTCCTAAACAGATATTAGGCAGATTCCTAAATATCTATTAGGTAGATTCCTAATTATATTAGCCTATTATTAGCTTCCACAAACGCTTTAGTTAAGTACAATGGATTTAATTTTTCTGATTGACTAAAGAAAATTAACTTCTATATCGTCATATCGGGGCGCTGGACTTGAATTTCTCCTTAATAGTGAAAGAAAAGTCTACACCTATTTCTACCATGGCAGCTAACATCAACCCTACTATGCCTAACACCGAGGATGCTAACAAATTTATGCCAGAAATCAAGAACATCTCATCACAATCAGATCTGTCAGACAAGTCCATCGTTGATAACCTGGTGACTGAGTTCATTAATGCATTTTTTTATTGTTCTATGTCCATGATTGTCTACTGGCCTACTGCAATAAGATGACTAATCTCACATTGGACTTGGCCAATATGGGCATGCCTGTCGATGATCCAAGTCCAGTTCACTTAGGAGTTTCTAGTTAATTACAATACTCGTAAGGAGAAATGTAGCTTTAGCCAACTTAGGATTTTTATCAAGGGGTGAGGCTAATAGGTTAAAAACTGTTAGGGATCACATTGCCCAACGTGCATTTATGATGGAGTAAACATGGTAAGTCCAAGTTAAGCAAAAAAGAGGAAAAAACTCCCATAGAGGTTGATGCCGCGAATGTCACCAAAAGGAAACTCAGACATGTCCTAAAAGGAAAGGTTAGTTTGAAAAGAAAGGTACATAGTTTGGTTTTGTGTGTTCCGAATCAAAGCCTATAAAAGTGCTTAATAACACTTGGTTATTAGATTCTTATGCTTCTAATCATGTTTCTCATATTGTACAGAGTTTCAAGTTCATCCAACCAATAGCAGGAAATGAATAATTTCTATTTATGCGGAACATGATAAAAATACATCTCAAAGGCATAAGAACCTATAGATTGATTATTATTTTTTTGAAAACCTACCTATCAATTGATTTTATGTCCCAGTTTTCATCCCCACTAATATATGTGGAGAAGTGAAGAAGACATGGCCACACACTCAATGTACAAAATATTTTATGGCTGGAGCTACATAAGTAATCAACAAGTTCTTAATTACTTCTTAAAATCAGGGGCGCAAAATGAAAGAGTTCTAAGATTGCTCATCTTAGACCTACCTTACTCAATTATTCTAATATGTATGTGTGTATGCATGTATGTACATATTTATGTACGTATATGTATGTATGTACGTGCGCGCGCGCGCTTGTATGCATGTGTGCATGTAATACAACTAAGACATAGACGGTTACCTCATTCCTTTCATCACCCACATCCAAATTCACAATCTTACAGCAAATAAAAAAGAACAAACGGAAAATACAGCAACAAAAATTGTCACGAAAAATAAAGATAAAACACAGCATAAAAATTCTGCCCCAGCATCACAACCAGCAACACCTCGCACGACCTACGCTTCAAACCTGACTTAATCAATATAGGCGGACTTATGGAGCGAAGCCCGCCACCTCCCCATTTTTTGCACTGTCTAGCGCCATACTTTCCCCCACGCGTTTGTCCTCCTGGGCTTCCCAAATGCATCTTCTTTTCTGTTCGCCTGATACCTCCTCGTTTGTTCACCCACTACTCCCTTAGTAGTGCTCTGCGCTGTTTCTGATATGGATTCCTTCCGTGCTTGTGCGATCTCTACTAGAGCTAGAAGACCCATCCACCATCCATTTACTGCCTCATGTAAGACTGGTCTTCACCGCACTACTTGTTCTAAGATGGACTCCAAAAGTCATTTCTATAACCAGATCTTCCTCATACGTTAGGGGACAAAATTTATCTGAATGCCCTATCAAACCGCATATAAAACATAAATTGGGAAACTTTTCATACTTAAAGTCTACCCAGTGACTCCTCCCATTTTTCTTCAGACTTGTGCCATTTTCCAGCGGTTTTTCTACATTCATAAAAACTCTTACTCTCATATAAGATTCCCACTTCTCACTATACTGATTATCATCATACTTGATAAATTTTCCAATGTGATTACCAACCCTCCTCGTAGTTCCTAAATTCACCAAACTGCACAACACATTGTGAACTTGGACCCAGAATTCAGCCTCATTTAAACAGATTTTATGTGGTATATCATCGGGTTTCACCTCTTTCAAAATCAAGAAATTGCGTTCAAATTGCCAAGGACCTCCATCAAGCACACGTTTCATATCAATACGATGATAAAAAGTAAATAGATACCTCTTTTCACCTACTTCTTTGATTGAGAATTTGAGATACCCTTCCCCGGCCTCCACAAAGAAGCCATGAGTTCCGATCCTTGGTTTCCTCCACCGGAGATTCCTCAATCTCGGTATCGTCAAGGTCGAGTTCTTCTTCTTCCGCACCAATGACCATCTTTTTGTATTGATCAACAATATTTTTTTATAAACTCTATGCCTTACTAGCCGATTAGGAGCTCCGACCTCTGCTTTTCAGAACACTTCGTTCGCTTCGCTGCTACGAAGAGTCCGGCGAAGCCACCCCCGAACCGCTGCTGCCCAGTCCTTCCTCGGCGGAGCACACTTCGCAATAATTTCCGTAATTTTGACTGGTCGCCTTCTTCCACCCTCCGTACTAAGCCATAATAACCGATTGACCGGCCGAAACCGACAACCCCGCTCCTCGGCTAAGCCGATGGCGGACACTCCGAGGCTAATTAAAGATCGTCTTGTGGCAACCCTAGAGAGAGAGAATTATGCTATTCTCTCTTTGTACATGTATTTTAATCTGGCTTCTATTTTCTTAAAAACGTCTATTCTTTTATGTTTGCTCGAATTCTTCGTTTAGCATTGAAACAATTTTTGCTAGTTTATGGGATTATCATTTCATATGTGATATTTGAATATAAAAATATACAATGGCATGTTTTTTAAACAATAAATAAATATACAAATTCGAGTATATTTTGAGAAATAATTTTTATAGGTATATTATATAATGAGTTTTTGATGATAATGATGTTATACATGTACTCTGTATTATTTAAGAGTATTAATTGTTTCCTGAAATAGAAAATATGAGAATATTTTAAGCTTTAAGTGGGACATCCAAAAAAGAAAAATAAGAACATTTGAATGAGATAGAGGAAGTATGTATTATGTTCCTCAAGATCAAAGGTTCAATGGGAAAATGACATGATTACTTAGATAATAATCAATACGGCAATTTGAGTATGTTTAAGATATATTTTTGATGAGTACATAATATAATGGAGTTATTAATGATAATTGTGGTCTTATAGAAATATTATTTTTAATATTTGATGATTACTTTTTTATTTATTATTTAAGAATGTTAATTGTTTTTCTAAAATAAAAACAAAAACATTTGAATGGGATGAGTAGTTTTATTCTATCAGATTACCCTGATTACGTATGAACTATGAAGTCAATTTATGTACAAATAAAATTAAAGACGTGGTGCTAAATCAAATTATTATGGAGTGAATAAACAGTACGGAAGCGCTGTTTATTAATTTTGTACGTAATTATTAATTAATTAATTATTATTAAACTAAACCTCAAATGAGGTGTAAGCCATTCCTGGTCTCTCTCCTCTATTTCTACTCGTTCATCGCCATCTCTCTCCCATCTTCCTCCCTTCGTTTTCAGAATTCCATAATCAGCTGCACTTTCTTTCTCTCTTTCTGAACATAATAACTGGATCTTGTTCTTCTTTTCTTTTCTCACATATACCTGCATAATAAGACTTCAATCCTCTGTTCTTAGGACTTAGATTTTGTTTTCCTTCTTTAGATTTCGAGCTGATTTTGATCATTGATTTTACGTGTTCAACTTTTCATATTCATACAGGGACGAATTTAGGTTTGGATTTTTGCGTCGAAAGGGTGTCATTATCATCATTCCTTTTCAAGTTTTTTTCTTTCTTTTTTTCAAACACGTTTCTGGGGTGAATTTAGATTTGTGGATGTATGCTAGTTAATCTACGTCGTTTTTTCAAGTTGATTGGATCTTTGTGAGCTTTTGAGGGACTGATCTTTGCGTTCACTCGCTCCGAATACCTTCACGAGCTTCCTTCACGCAGATATCAGGTAATTAATATCTGATGATGATTAATTATTATTCCTTCCATAAATGAACAATGGATCATTTAAAAATAGAAACGTTGAGCTCATTTATTGCATTCCGTAAAAGACTACATCTATGATTCATCTAAGCCTGAAGTTGCTGATAATATAACTATTCCGAGCTTTTTTCTCTTTTATTGATTAATTAAGATACAATTGACCAAATAATAACTTTACAGTAATATAGATTTGGATTAAATTCTATTTGGATTTTGTTGTATGCACGGAGTATATATAGATGCGTATACAGTAATATCTTGTGGAAATTTCACATCTGATACGTTATAATATGGCATTTGTTCTGTCTATAACAAAGAATTATCACTTTGCTCCCAGAAGGCTGCCAATATTTGGTTAGTTTGAGCGATAGGATGGGGTTTTATGTCGATTTATGTTGTAATTTCCTTGTTTTGATATCCTGACACTTTTCTCTGCTTTTAAAGCTTCAATTTTTTTTTTGTTTCTCCCTTACATTTATTGTTGATGTTCTTTCCAATCAAGGAGTCACAAATAAGCTTTATGTTGGTAATAAAACTGTTTCTTTGTTTGGAGGGAGGGGATCAGGAGGTATCTTGAACTCTGCTAAAGGTGTCCTAAAGTTGAACCACTTTGGCAAGGGTCATCTTGTGTTTTTCTGTGCATAAAATGATTAGGTTCTTCTTGATGACACTTTTTTTGCTTGCTTCTTACTACACCAATTATTGATACTGTCCATGTCTTCAATTGTTGGCCTTCTATTTTCAGGAATAAACATGAAAACTGAAAGCGAGGAGATGATGAGTTCACAAGGCGGCCTAAGTGAAGATGCTAGTAGTGGAGGAAGTGGTGGTGGTGGTTTGATACTGAAGAAAGGTCCTTGGACATCTGCAGAGGATGCAATATTAGTGGACTACGTAACAAAACACGGAGAGGGGAACTGGAATGCTGTGCAGAAGCATTCTGGGCTTGCTCGATGTGGGAAAAGTTGCCGATTGAGGTGGGCAAATCACTTAAGACCAGATTTAAAGAAAGGAGCATTCACTCCTGAGGAAGAGAGCCTCATTGTACAACTGCATTCTAAAATGGGAAACAAATGGGCACGAATGGCTGCTGAGGTCTGTATGATCATCCTTCATTTGTTTTTTGGTTCTTTCCATCTTATTACCAAGAGTCCATTTGGTAATCTGAAAACACTATAGAAAGAACACGGGTTGGAAAATAGAATACAACGCTCGAAGGTAAGAGAACTTGTGAAATATTGAAGATGAGCTCAAACATAAATAAGTAATTGTAGATATTGCTCAAACTCATTTTTATTTATTTACTGATTTATGTCTATGTAAATTGAGACTATGAAATATAACTTTTATGTAAAATTTCAAAATAAGTGAATTGTACGAAGTATGTCATTTTTCTTTACATTTTCCAAGGTAATACTGAGCACAAGAGAACAACTTTCCTCAGCATTTGTTACCACTTGCTAGCATTTTCCAGCATCTAAACGTACCCTAATAGTCCTTCCACAAGTTTATTCTGCGGTTGGAAGCTTGTTCCGGTTTATGTCAGGACTATCTATAAATATTGCTTTCATATACCTAACCAAACATGCCAGCTTCAAGAAGTTTGGTGAAAATTCATGATGCTATTGAATTTATAATACATATTTCCTGAGAGTTTTGGCTGAAAAAGTTTTCATGGAAAATAAAGGGCAAAAATGGACCCTTTCATATAATTATTTATTAGTTCTATATGCAAAGAAGCTTAGATTAATGCTCTGATTTGTAGTCTTTTTTGCTTATCTCTGAATCAGAATACCTTCTTTTGTGCCCTCCTAGTTCTTTATGCATTGGGCATTTAGTTTGCACTAAAACATCGTTTGGCACCTTGGTCTCACATGAAATCAATGAACTCGAGGACAATGTGCTTACCTAATTATGTTCGGTCATTGTTTTAGTTTTCTATGTTATATTACCGTTTTCTGGAAGGAGGATGGTTATGGTGATTCTGGGAACTAAACTACAAAGAAAAGTCTTTGTCGGAGTTTCATCATACACGCAAATTCATGTTTGTGAAGTTGACTATCACTTGTCTTATCTCTTCTCCTATGCCATCTTTATTTTTCAGTTGCCTGGGCGAACAGATAATGAGATAAAGAACTATTGGAACACAAGACTGAAGAGAAGACAACGTGCCGGCTTGCCAATATACCCTCCTGACATCCGTTTGAATTCCTTCAATGAGAACAAACAAAATGACGATTTTGGCACCTTCTCACAACATCCCGAACTTTTGCAGAACAACAGTTTTGAGATCCCACCTGTGGAATTCAGAAGTTTTCAACTGAATCAGGCACTATATCCACAAGATCTTCTTGACATTCCTGCAAGTAGTAGCCTTCTGCCACAAGGTGGTCTTGGTTCTTCTTTTGGAAACAACAGACCGTTTCTTTCAGCTATTCACCCTTCAAAGCGAATACGTGGTTCCGGAACCTTCTTCCCTGGTTTAAGTGATATTCCATATCAGAGCGATGAGAATACTTATACACAGATGGAACAATCCTACTGCGGGTTTTCGTATCCATATGATCAGACTATGGAATCTGGTCAACAATCGTTATTCCCGGATTTGATTAATGGCAGCCATGCCTTTATAAATGGCAACTCCTCTCCTTCAGACCCCACGTGTGGAAAGAAGATGGAGCTCCCTTCATTCCAAAATCAGATGGGTAGTTGGGGATTTCCTTCCTCATCCCCTCTCCCATCTCTACAATCTGTTGATACTTTAGTTCAGTCACCTACAAGAGCTGCTGAGCAGCAGCCTGATAGTAACAGTGGCCTACTTGATGCTGTTCTTTTAGGGTCACAATCTTTGAAGCATACAAAGAATGATTCTTCATCCTCTGGTGGTTTCTTGATTATGCCAGGTGACTTGGTGGATGATAGTTCTTGTCCGGACCTTGATGACCCAGAGATGGAAAGAAATGGTGATCCGATTTCTCCTCTCAGCCATTCTGCTACATCAGTTTTTAGCGGAAAAAGTACATCAGATGAGCCTCAGTCAGTCGAAAAGAAGTCAGGTGAGAATAGTCATCTAACAAGTTAGTACACTGAAACATGATAGAATATAATGATATAGCAGGAGTTAAGTGTTCTAGACTGATTCTTTTTCATTGTTTTTATCATATTTATAACATTAAAGCTTTTCTCCGGGGGGATTGGAGCAACTGTTAAAATTTACCTCTCACGGGGCGTATTGTTATTTCAAAAAACAAAGGGGCCATTTTTTACTTAAATCAAATCTCTGTGGAGGTAGATACAATTAGCTCTCCATCTTTAGTTATTCTATTCCATTCCTAACCATCTATTTCCTCATAATTGCGTGAACTTCTGAAATTATTGTCATTCTGTAGGTGATGTAGTTAAGCAAGTGCATTATAAAAATGAAGCATCAAACCATAAGATGTTCTCTAGGCCGGACTCCTTGCTTAATTTGGATTGTTTCCTTGTGAAGGCGGACCACGGTAAGGACCACTGTAAATTTAAAGGCGTGTTTGGAACGGGCCTGTTTGATGACTTAAGCAAGAACTGCAAGAAAATGGGAGGCTCGGCTACTTCCACGGGTCAAGGCTATGCTTGGGATGCCATGTCCACTGTCTGATCAATTTCTTGGATTTCTATGAACGGAAACTTATAGTCTAGAATTGTTTGGAAGGGAAAATATTTTGATATATTGATCACACAACACACAGGTTCTCTCCCACGTAAATTTACCACCAGACCATATTATAACCTGATAGCAGCCTTTTCCTTCACATGTGTTTGTACTTTGTTTTTGAAACAATTTCCTTTCATGCTTGAAACAACAGAGGTACTAGCAGTTCATTGCCATTGACACTTGAACCATAAACGAGCACAATCTTCAAAATAATAGTGTGCTTATTATGATTCGTTCCCTTGAATTTATGCATCTCAGTTTTATTTACATTTCTGGTCTTGGTTTGGCCATGTTTGGTTGAATTTGTTGAGATAATGGTTGAATGGGCTTGCCGTGCTGAATTATCTAACAATGTACTTACAACACATACGTAATATTCTTAAAATTAGAAGGAATAATAGCTAAAAGTTTAGTGATAGGTATTTATTTCCATGCCATAGTAGCTTTTGGGTGTTTTTTTGTTGTTGAATACAGATGTGAGATGTGTTAGATCATCCCGTTTGGCAGGCCAATCGGTTATCGGTCCAAGTTGCTGGTCAGATATACTAAATTATCTGATACACTAAATTATCAATTACGGAGTAGTTTATTTCAAAAATACACGTTTAAAAAGGGGGTTAAATTCATATGAATGATTCTAGTTTTAGAAAATCTATCATAATAATCTTTAGGGAAAGTTCCCGAAATAGGACTAAAACAGTTTGATAATTCCAAAATAGAACTGACATGTTTTAAATTCCCAAAATAGGAGTAATTACTGTCAAGTTTGGAAAATACTGTCATGTTTGAAGTCTGGAACTGCCAAAACATGACAATAATTAGTCCTATTTTGGGAATAAAAAACATGACAATCCTATTTTGGAATTTTCAAACCTTTTTAGTTCTATTTCGGGTAATATCTCTAATCTTTACGCAGAGTATTCATAAAAATAATTTGAACCGGTAATGATGTTCAAACTAATAGTCATTTAATATTTCCAATTTTTGTCTCATGTTTCTCTTTTTCTTGGCTAACCCTTCTATTTTTCAAGTTTACATGTCATTTCCATTATGAATTGTTTTATTGCCTTTCGTGATTGACACAAGAAAGTTCTCTTTGTTTCTCAAACTTTCATCCTTTTCATCCAAATTCCAACAAATTCAAAATTATTATCTCAAACAGTGGTAAGAATAACAAGGGCATATTTCTGAAAATCTCACTTGCTAAGTTACTTAGCGTATACAACAAACGGAAGGTATGACTAACAGAAATCTCATGTGATCTATTTTTGTGGACGTCATTATGATTTGAGATTATTTTTGCAACACTTCAAGTACGGATTATTATTATTATTACAGGATCCCTGAAAGTAATGATTATTTGTATGAACTTCCCCAAGCAAATAACCTATCTATTTTACGAGTGTGTATTTATTTTTAACCGGTTCCGTTGGTACAATGAAATTGATTGATATTTAGGTAACAAACTCACGTATATAGCTAAAATGAGCCCAAAATGAAACCGGCTAAATGGGAATTAGGAATGAAGAATACCAAAAAGTAGAAAAAAATGTGATAAAAATGTGTTTTATGTGGGGGTGGGGGTTAGGTAAAGATCTTGCTGTCTGGGTAGTCTAAAATGGGTAAACACATAGAAACATTTCATACTTTGTCAGATTTTTCTATGTTTTGAGGGTGTGAAAAGCCAAAGGGGTGGAAAGTTTCAGAGGAGGAAAGGATGAAGCGAACATGCCCTTTAGGAGCCGACCAAGTTTTGGGCAAAGGACACAGTACCACACGTATTTCTTCCTTTAGGCAAGTGAGCCCACCCATCAATCAATTATTTACCTAAGGTTATTCCTCCAACGTACTTGTATATGAGTATATCTTCACATTTTTTGATATCCTATATTGATATCAATGTCGTTTCTCAAAGTTGCGGTCATCTGAGATTAGAGAGTTGGAATGTTTTAGTTGGATTCCTTTAGTCATTAGGTCAATTCAGATTAGGTTTAATCAGATATAAGTTACCTATCATAATGCATAAATGGCGAGGAAATTGTATTGGAGAGGATTTTTACTTCATGTGTATAGGATTTTTATCTTTATTTCGTGTCAGCCGTTTTTTTATTAAATTCTTAATCTGTAGAAGTACTCGGTATGAACTATGAAAGTACGTACCCGGTAACATTGAATTACTTCTCTTTCGGTCTGAAAGACCATAACTCACCATTACTTTTAAAATTGATCAGATTTAGAAACCTTGATGACCTTATTTACACGGAAAACAGATTTCAATATTTTGTTTGATCTTTTTAGAATATAAGTTTTTTCATAATTTTTAATTAATTGTCATATGTTTGAGTAGCAAATTATACTGTGAGATCGTTACACCGTGCACACGGTGTATTTATCCCAATACGGTATCTTTCATAATTGAAAAGATAGCATAGCTTAATTTGAATTTCAATTTCATCCTATTATTTAGCCGGCAACAGCGATGATGGAAGAAGCCTGCAAATCTTTATAGTGATGGCTTGAAAGACATATGGGCAAGTGGGTAGAACGATACAACGCACTCGTTGTGGAGCTTCTGTCAAAAGGAGATGTCGCTAGATCCAAAGGTGGGGTTGGTCATTAATGGCGCCTCTGGTGCGAAGGCTATATTCTGAGGAAAGACAGAGAGATGGTGTGGAGGAGGTTGAGCGTGATAGCTGATGAAGAAGCAGTTAGTGGGTTTCTAATCGCCGATTGAACGATGGAGGGGGGTTGACAACCTTCGATATCAATATGACGTCGGTAATCTCGACTCATGTGGTGTAACTATATAGCATGTTCATCTTTGCCTAAACGTTACACTTCTGTAAAGCCCATTTACATTTCATTGGACTAATGTTACATTTTCCATTAAGGTTGTTTACATTTTAACTTGTTTTCAAGCTACATTTCAATTTCAATTTCAATTAATGCAATTCACATTTGGAGTTATTTCAACGAGTTACATTTCGGTAAACATGATTTGAATTTCAAGTAGTTTGAAGTTACATTTTCATACATGCGATTTACATATATATATAAAGTGAGAAAATAATCATTGTAAGGAGCGAACGAGTTACACTCCACTGTATGCGTTACATTTGTCGCTAAATAATACTTTGTACTGCATTATTTCAATCCACATAAATTACATTTCAATATAAATGATTTACATCACCAAAAATATTGAGACAAAAAAAATTGTTATACGGATGATCAAAAGTTTTGGAATGACTATATATTAGGGAGTCATGTAAACATATCTTAACATTATCATAACTACGCATTTTTGTAATGAAAGACCCTAACAAATATTTATTTATGATGAAGGCATTTAATAAGTCCATATTTTGGATGAAATACTGTATACTATATAGCACATATCTATATATAAACGTATTGATTGATACTATATATAGCCACATTGAATTGGTAGGCTTGATTGAATATGCACACATATGCACATCGTGACATCAAAGTCTTTTAAGCCTCAAGGTCCAAAAATGGGTTTCATCATATTCACAAGTTGACCGTATAAGGTCATTCTGTCATTTACATCTTCTACCAGTTCTTCCAAAGGCGGAATCATAATGTTTCGATGTGTAAACTTTCTAAAACGAACTAATTTTGTCAATATTAACGTCATCTAATGTTTGGTATTACATAATGAACGATATGCTAAAGCTTAAGCATGTATATGGTGTACCAATCCCAATATGGTATCTTTCACAAATACGGAGTAAGAAGATAGTAGAGCGTCATTCGAATTTCAATTTCATCCTATTATTTAGCCAACAAATGATGATGATGATGATGATGGAACAAGCCGACAAATCTTTATGGTGATGGCTTGAAAGACAGATGGGCAAGTGGATACAACGATACTGCGCACTCGTTGGGGAGGTTCCGTCAAAAGGAGATGTCACTGGATCCAAAGGTGGGTCGGTCATCAATGACGGAGGCCGATTGAATGATGGAGGAGGATTGACAACATTCAATATCAATATGGAAGCCGAAAATCTCGACTCAGTTGGTGTAACTATATACTACATATATGTTTGCCTAGAAGTCTGTAAAGCTCATTCATATTTCATTGGGTTAAAGTTACATATTCCGACCATTAAAGATGTTTACATTTTACCTTGTTTCCAAGTTACATTTCAATTAATGCAATTCATATTTCGAGTTGTCTCAACGAGTCACATTTCGATAAACGTGATTTGAATTTCAAGTAATCTGAAATTACACTTTGATACATGCGATTTACATCTCATACATGAAAAGCGAGAAAATAATCATCCCTAGGAGTGAACGAGTTGCACTCAAGTGTACAAGTTACATTAGTTGTTGACTGATATTACATTTCAAGCCACGTAAGTTACATTTCAATATAAAGAATTTACATCACGAAAAAATATTCAGACAAAAAAAAATTGTTACTAATGATTAAATATGTAAACCGAAAGATAGCTACAAACTGACAAATAAAAGCATTTCGAATGACTATATATTAGGAGTCGTATAAACATATCTATGTGACTTTATCATAACTACTCATTTTTGTAATCAAAGACCCTAACAAATATTTATTTATGATGAAGGCATTTGATAAGTCCATCTTTTCCCTGGAATACTATATACTATATAGCACATATTTATAAACTTAGCTTATTGATTGATACTATATATAGCCACATTGGTAGGCTTGATTGAATATGCACATCGTGACATCAAAGTCTTCAAGTCTCAAGGGTCCAAAAATGGGTTCTATCATATTCACAAGTTGACCGTATAAGGTCATTCTGTCATTTGCATCTTCTACCAGTTCTTCGAAAGGCGGAATCATAATGTTTCGATGTATAAACTTTCTAAAACGAACTAATTTTGTCAATATTGATGTCATCTAATGTTTGGTATTACATAATGAACATGGGTTGGTCGTTTATATTGCATTCACCGATGTCCGATACTCCGATTAAACTAGTGTAAAACTGTAAAAGCTAGCCCTATGGACACGTTTGACATTTAGTGACTAGCGCCTTAGCGCCTAGCAGATGAAATATGTTAGCGTGTTGTTAATAGTGGGAGTGAGTTTTCAAGATATGATTTTAATTTTAGTCAACGGGTTTGACAAGTGGAATAATTTTGCGGGTTGCAAAAAGAAGTTCGATAATTTAGTTGTTTGGCCAATGGCCATAACCATTAGTAAAAAAGCGTCATATTCCCAAAACACTAATCCAAACGATACTATTTTGCAGCG